CTTCATAATTTGCTTTAGAATAAAGGTGGCTGTTAAAGCGTTGTTATTAACATTTTAAAACAGTTACTATGCAATATCTTCATTTGAAATTACTGTCTTTTAAAACGTTAATAACAATTTGTTACATATATAAATTTCAAATGAATGTCGATACTTCTAATCAATCAAATTGTTGTTTCAAATGGAATGGTTTTGTAGTTAAATTATTGAGCAATATTATACTTACCACATATTTGTACCTCATTTTAATTTCATATATGACTTTTAATGATTAAAATCAAACTTATCACTGCAAGTGGCCCTTTCTACAGTGGTGGAAATGTATTGTGTCTAGGCCTGGCAATTTCTGACACGACCCGATAACCCGACACGACACGACACGAAATTAACAGGTGTTTGGGTCGACACGATAACGAATCGGGTCTTATCGGGTAACCCGATAAGCACCTGTTAAGATAACGGGTCGGGTCGGGTATACACGTGGGTAAACACGATACACGATAAGCAAAATATTATTTTTATAATTTTATAACCCCTAAAAAAATATTGTAATAATTATATACATTAATTTTACAATTTTATACCCCTAAAAATTATAATAAATATATATATATATATATATATTAAATTAACTATAAAATTTATAATAATTATAATAATTATATATACTATAATAATTATACCCCCAAAATATTAAGTCTATCTATACTAATTATATTATATATATATATATATATATATATTAAATTTTATAAAAATTATAATGCATATGAATTAATAATTTAATATGCATGATCATGCATTTGCCAACTTGCCGTCCTTTTTGGAAAAAAAAATGGAGGGAAAATGAAAATGTTAAGAAAAGTTGAAAATAAAACAAAAAAGTGAGGGAATTAGGGAAAGATGTTGGAGGGAAAAGTGAAAATGATAAGAAAAAGTTGAAAAGGAAACAAAAAAGAGAGGGAAAAATGAAAATTAATAGAAGTGGTGAGAAATTTTTTTTTTTTTAAGTTATTAACTTTTTATCACACACATGACTGTCATGACATATCTCACTATTTTTATAATGAACACGTGACACGTGATGTATGTACTATTCCGTGTACCAGTCAATTATAATTTATACGTACAAAATAAATAGATTTAAATCTACTTAATAAATATATATATACACACACACACACACACACGGAACTTGATTGATGGCATACGAATTCTCCAAAACTAATTTCAACGATCCAAACCGTCAAAATTGTTTGTATATGCTTGGAGATCATATCAGCAAAAAATCACACAAAAAAAACATTCAGAGATCAAGTAACGGGACAAAGCTTTTCAACGGTTATAAACGAAAAATCACGATTTAACGGTTATTTTAACTCCGATTTTGATAATTTTTTATAACTACACTTCTTGACCCTATATGAATACAATGAATGAATTCGATCTTCAATTTAAAATATTTACACAAGTGGATACCACAAAATCTTATGTTATACTTAATAAAAGTATAAATAAACACTAAGTGTTAGTCAATCTATCGTTTTACGAATTCTCCAAAACTAATTTCAACGATCCAAACCGTCAAAATTGTTTGTATATGCTTGGAGATCACATCAGCAAAAAATCACAAAAAAAAAACATTCAAATATCAAGTAACGGGACAAAGCTTTTCAACGGTTATAAACGAAAAATCAAGATTTAACGGTTATTTTAACTCCGATTTTGATGATTTTTTATAACTACACTCCTTGACCCTATATGAATACAATGAATGAATTCGATCTTCAATTTAAAATATTTACACAAGTGGATACCACAAAATCTTATGTTATACTTAATAAAAGTATAAATAAACTCTAAGTGTTAGTCAATCTATCATTTTACGAATTCTCCAAAACTAATTTCAACGATCAAAACCGTCAAAATTGTTTGTATATGCTTGGAGATCACATCAGCAAAAAATCACAAAAAAAAAACATTCAGAGATCAAGTAACGGGACAAAGCTTTTCGACGGTTATAAACGAAAAATCAAGATTTAACGGTTATTTTAACTCCGATTTTGATGATTTTTTATAACTACACTCCTTGACCCTATATGAATACAATGAATGAATTAGATATTCAATTTAAAATATTTACACAAGTGGATACCACAAAATCTTATGTTATACTTAATAAAAGTATAAATAAACTCTAAGTGTTAGTCAATCTATCATTTTACGAATTCTCCAAAACTAATTTCAACGATCAAAACCGTCAAAATTGTTTGTATATGCTTGGAGATCACATCAGCAAAAAATCACAAAAAAAAAACATTCAGAGATCAAGTAACGGGACAAAGCTTTTCGACGGTTATAAACGAAAAATCAAGATTTAACGGTTATTTTAACTCCGATTTTGATGATTTTTTATAACTACACTCCTTGACCCTATATGAATACAATGAATGAATTCGATCTTCAATTTAAAATATTTACACAAGTGGATACCACAAATCTTATGTTATACTTAATAAAAGTATAAATAAACTCTAAGTGTTAGTCAATCTATCGTTTTACGAATTCTCCAAAACTAATTTCAACGATCCAAACCGTCAAAATTGTTTGTATATGCTTGGAGATCACATCAGCAAAAAATCACAAAAAAAAAACATTCAAAGATCAAGTAACGGGACAAAGCTTTTCAACGGTTATAAACGAAAAATCACGATTTAACGGTTATTTTAACTCCGATTTTGATGATTTTTTATAACTACACTCCTTGACCCTATATGAATACAATGAATGAATTCGATCTTCAATTTAAAATATTTACACAAGTGGATACCACAAAATCTTATGTTATACTTAATAAAAGTATAAATAAACTCTAAGTGTTAGTCAATCTATCGTTTTACGAATTCTCCAAAACTAATTTCAACGATCCAAACCGTCAAAATTGTTTGTATATGCTTGGAGATCACATCAGCAAAAAATCACAAAAAAAAAAACATTCAAAGATCAAGTAACGGGACAAAGCTTTTCAACGGTTATAAACGAAAAATCACGATTTAACGGTTATTTTAACTCCGATTTTGATGATTTTTTATAACTACACTCCTTGACCCTATATGAATATAATGAATGAATTCGATCTTCAATTTAAAATATTTACACAAGTGGATACCACAAAATCTTATGTTATACTTAATAAAAGTATAAATAAACTCTAAGTGTTAGTCAATCAATCATTTTACGAATTCTCCAAAACTAATTTCAACGATCAAAACCATCAAAATTGTTTGTATATGCTTGGAGATCACATCAGTAAAAAATCACAAAAAAAAAACATTCAGAGATCAAGTAACGGGACAAAGCTTTTCGACGGTTATAAACGAAAAATCAAGATTTAACGGTTATTTTAACTCCGATTTTGATGATTTTTTTTAACTACACTCCTTGACCCTATATGAATACAATGAATGAATTCGATCTTCAATTTAAAATATTTATACTAGTGGAATTTATATACTTAATAAAAGTATGAATCAACTATCATATTAATAATTATATACATTAATTTAATAATTTTATGCGGAAGAGAGTTCTGACGTGGAAAATCTTACTGAAAACATCTTCAACATAACTCTTGAAGGCAATAGATCAAGCCAAAGTTCCAATATAATTTCATGATGTTCGATGTAAATTGAAGATTTTGTAAATGGAGGTGTAAACTTTTAAGAAAGACTTACAATCTTAAAAACAAAAACTCTTTATCCTTGCACATTTAATATTTGTAATAGATTAGTAGTGTATGTATTATTTTTTTTATTAGGCTTTCATTTTCGAGTGTAGATATAGTACTTGAACGAGAAATGTTTTAATGTTTTCAAGTAATATTTATGTCGCAATGTGTGGTATGTGCAAATTGTAAAAAAATATTTTTTTTTCTTAACGGGTCATAACGGGTCGGGTCACTTTACCCGTTGGGTAAAGTGACACGACCTGTTAAGGACCCGTTAAGATAACGGGTGTGACACGACACGACCCGTTAAGATAACAGGTGTTACACGAAAACGACACGAACACGACAGACACGACCCGTTTGCCAGGCCTAATTGTGTCCTTGTATGACTGTGTGGTTCGAATCCCGTCGTTAGCCAATCTAAAAAAAAAAAAAAAAAACTTTCCACATATTTGTACTACATTTTAATACCATACAAATATTTAAAGAAAATCCAATGAGAGAAAGAGAGAGAGAGAAAAAAAAAACATTCAATTGAAAGAGATAAAACCATCATCCAAATATTACAATGACATAAAATCACTAAATGACATTTTTACACATCAATTATCACATTATGGGACATTTAAATGTGGTATGGCTAACATTTACTCATTCAATCAACATCGTAGCTAGTGTTAGGAGTATTAAGATTCTCTGGCTATGGAATTGACATGTGTCAAGAGATTAAGAAGTTAGTTAGGTTTGTTGTGATTGTAGCTTAGAGTGCAAGCTACTATAGCTATTATATATAGCTTGTAATAAACAGTTGTAACTAATAAGAAAGATCAATACATTTCCAAAGATTCCTTCCCTATCTAAAACATCTCAATCTTCTTCTATCTCTGCATAACAGTTCTTACCAAATCCTTCAATGGTTACATGGTATCATCGCCGGAACAAGCACAAAAGCTTGACGATTCTTCGATCTTGGTTTCATCTGCTTCCGCTACATCTCAAGTTTCCTCTGTAATACTATGATTCTTTCTGGTAAATTTGGGCGTTTCGTCTTCACCCGTTCTTTTGATTTTGCGTTCTACAAAGTGTACACACCAAGTGTTTGTGGTTTGTTCTCTGTCAAGATCACTTCAAGATTTCGTCACAATCTGCAACAATGGTGACAACTTCTCAATTACATATTCTCCAATCTCCAATCACTTCATTGATTTCATCTGTTTCCAGCTCAGTAAACATGAAATTGGATGATACGAATTATTTGGCCTAGCATTTCCAGATGCAGTTACTTCTTGAAGGTCATATCATCATTGGGTTTGTTGACGGCTCAACACCCTGTCCTACCCAGTTTAGTCAAGAATCTTCTGATAACTCTGCATTCTTATCTGGTAATTCCTCCACAAGGGTACCATCAGATGAATACAAGATTTGGAATATGCATGATAAAGCATTAATGCAGTTAATCACTACAACGTTGTCTCCTGATGCAATTTCATGTGCAATTGGCAGTACCAGTTCCAAAGAATTGTGGACTGGGCTTAAAGAACAGTTCTCTACAGTCACAAGAACAAGCATATTTCAACTCAAATCCAAGCTTCAAAATATAAAGAAGGGTAATGATTCTATCACACTATATTTGCAGAAAATTAAAAAAGCAAGAGATTTCTTGACTGCTGCTAGTGTATTCTTGAAGGATGATGATATTGTGATTCTTACACTAAATGGTTTGCATGTTGAATTTAATATAATAAGATCTATGATTAGGGGTTGTGAAACTGCGATATCATTGAAAGATCTTCGATCTCAACTACTTACTGAAGAAACTTTGCTTGAAAATGTATCTACATCACCAGTGTTCTCTGCACTCATGGCACAAAACAATGGTTTTACTTCCAAGAATCGATCTTTTTCCAACTCTGGTGGCAACCATGTTAGTCCCAACTCTAATGCATACAAGTCTTTCAACAACAACAACAACAACAAAGGCAGAAATTGGTTCAATTCCAACTTCAATTCGAAGTTTGGCAACAACAAGAATTTTCATTTAAGTCCTGTTCCTGGAATTCTTGGTACATCACCGCCAAGATCACAAAACTATGGTTTTCAGGCCCAAACTTGCCAAATTTGTGGGAAAACCAATCATCTGGCCTCTACTTGTTGATTTAGGAATACAAATTCATCACAGGGATGTCAAATTTGTGGCAAGAACAACCATCTTGCTGATGTTTGTAGATATAGAAATACAGTTGTTTCTTCAGGTTGTCAAATATGTGGGAATCCCTATCACATTGTAGAAACATGTTTTCAGAAGACTTCTACTTCTCCAATGAATGCCATGCATGCTGCCACACCTAATGGTCATTACTCTTAATTCTCAGTGCCATCTGCACCATCATAGCAACAGGTTTGGCTTACTGATTCAGGTGCCAATAATCACATAACTTCAGAATTGATTAATTTCTCATTGGCAACCCTATATCCATCAAATGAGACAATCCGGACAACTAATGGTGAATGTTTAGCTATCTCTCACATTGGTTCAACTTTCTTCACAACTCCAATGAAGCTTATTAAGCTTAGTTCTATTCTTTATGTCCTAAAATTGTCTCAAAACCTATTGCCTGTGCATAAGATCTGTTTGGATAATAACTGTTGGTTGATTTTCAATGCATTTTCATTTTGGATTCAAGACAAAGACACAAAGAGGATACTCTACAAAGGGCTGTGTAACAATGGATTATACCCCATCACCTTACCAAGTTCTCGTGTAATCATCAATAAAGGGCAACCTGCAGCTTTTCTTGGAAAACAAGTTACAATCAGTATTTGGCATAAGAGACTAGGTCATCCTTCTAATTCAATAGTCTCTTAAGTTTTAAGAACTTTAAATGTCTCCTGTGTTGCTGATAGTATACCTTCACTATGTAAAACATGTTTAGGGGGTAAATTTAGTAAACTGCCATTTTCTCCTTCAGTTGCAAAGTGTGTAAAACCTTTTGATATTGTACATAGTAATGTGTAGGCCCTGCTCCTTGTGTGTTTTTCGAAGGATTCAAATACCATGTGACCTTCATTGATCATTGTACCAAGTATTGTTGGATTTTTCCAATATGCAATAGAAGTGATGTTTTTGCAACATTTGTTTTCTTTTACAATTTCATTTTAAACCAATTTCATACATACATAAAAACTCTCCAAAATGATGGTAGTGGTGAATATATAAGTAAAGCATTTCAAAAGTTTTTTTTTTATTTTTTTTTATTTTTTATGATAAATGAGTGAGCCATCAAATGTCATGTCTTCATACACTAGAACAGAATGGGATAGCAGAGAGAAAACACATACATATTATTGAAACATCCATCACTTTGTTACAATCTGTTTCATTACCATCATTGTTTTGGTTTTTTGCTTGTCATACCTCAGTATACTTAATCAACAGAATGTCATCTCCTATATTAGATAATAAATCACCATTTGAATTGCTGCATAATTCAATACTTGAGATCCAACATTTGAAAGTATTTGGTTGTTCTTGTTACCCTTGGTTAAGACCATATAATAGCACCAAATTAGAACCTAGAACAACATAGTGTGTCCTTTTGGGGTATGCATCCAAGTATAAAGGGTATATCTTCTATGATGTATCTAGAAAGAAATTTATATCTCTAGACATGTGATATTTGATGAGATAGAGTTTTCTTACCCATCTTTGGTTCCCAAACATCATTATGTCACTACTACACAACTACCATCACTCATTCAAACACCAATTCCAATACCAGATCACATTAATGTCCTTGTTTTGCCAGAATCACAAAATCACTCCACATTGTGTTCCTCACCAGATCCCACATAATTAGGTTCAACTCATATACCTAGTTCTATGCCAAATACCGTCATCAATCAAGCTTCAGAAGACTCCACTACAATTCCAGTTACTGTTTCAAGTTCCAATTCATAAGATTCAAGTTCTAGTCAATCCATTACTGCACCAAAAACACAACATTTGTCTCCTACACTCTATGTGGTACCTGAATTTCAACCTGAACAACTGCAAGTGGTTCTATCTATTCCTCCAATCAATCTTCACCCTATGCAAACAAGGTCAAAGAGTGGCATCTCAAAGAAAATTGCTCTACTTGCTGTTGTACATGACAATGAAGGAGTTGATTTGAGTTAAGTTGAACCTGCAACATATAAGTCTGCATTAAAATCCTCAGTATGGCATGAGGCTATGAAAGATGAGATTTCATCTTTACACAACCAAGGTACATGGTCATTGGTTCCTCTACCACATTACAAGAACTTAGTAGGCTGTAAATGGGTATTTAAGATCAAGAAGAATGTTGATGGTTCAATTGGGAGATATAAAGCAAGACTGGTGGCTAAAGGGTTTAATCAAGAAGAAGGTATTGACTATGGAGAGACTTTTAGCCCAGTTGTTAAACCTACAACAATGAGATTAGTTCCAGCCTTATCTGCACACTTTGGTTGGACATTAAGATAATTGGATATGAAAAATGCCTTTCTACATGGCATCTTCCAAGAAGATGTGTAAATGGCACAACCACTTGCATTTGTTGATACCAAACATAGAGACTATGTTTGCAAATTAATTACAAAATCCTTATATGGATTGAAACAAGCACCAAGGCTCTAGAATGAGAGATTAACTAGTTTTCTACCATCTTTGGGGTTCAAATCCACATATGCAGATTCATCATTGTTTGTGAAAATTGTTGGCAGTTATGTGGTGATCTTGCTATTATATGTTGATGACATCATTATAATAGGAATTGCAACACAAGCAATCACTGAGGTTATTCAATCTCTCACTCAGGAATTTGATATAAAAGATATAAAAGACTTGGGACCACTTCGCTACTTTTTGGGGATCTAAATTATGCAGAAGAAGAATGGTTTATTCCTATCTCAAGACAAGTATGTCACATATTTGTTAACTAAGTCTGAAATGTTGCTGTCTAAACCATGTGCTACTCCATGCTTGCCCTACAACAGATTGCTCAAAGATGATGGAAAACCTTATAATAACCCTACACTATATAGAAGTTTGGTTAGTGCCCTCCAATACTTAACATTCACTAGGCTTGACATTGCTTTTGCAGTGCATCAGGTATGTCAATTTATGCAAAACCCTATGGAGTCACATTTCATGGTTGTTAAAAGAATTCTCAGATACTTAAGAGCTACTCAAGGTTGTGGTATTCATTATGTCAAGGGTTCATTGGATGTCACTGCATATAGTGATGCAGATTGGGCAGGGAACCCTAATGATACAAGATCAACCACGGGAATGGTTGTGTTTCTGGGGTCAAATCTCATTTCATGGTCATCTAAGAAACAAAACATTGTTTCTTGATCATTAACTGAAGTTGAATATTGGGTTTGTCAACTATAGCAGCTGAAATCGATTGGATCAAACAACTGTTGGTTTTTCTGCATGTTCCATTTTTTGATAAACCACTCCTCTTTTGTGACAACTTATCTGCAATAGCCTTTACTTGCAATCCAATTTAGCATCAACGCACTAAGCACATTGAGATTGATGTGCATTTTGTTCAAGAGAGGGTAGCAAAACAACAACTGTAGGTGCATTTCGTGTCTTTGAATGAACAGTTTGATGATATACTTACAAAAAGACTCTCTGCACCACTATTTTAGACATATTGTGCCAATCTCGGGCTCAATTTCTCTGCTTTTGAGCTTGAAGGGGGGATGTTAGGAGTATTAATTAGATCCTATGGCTATGTAATTGACATGCGTCAAGAGATTAAAAAGTTAGTTAAGTTTGTTGTGATTGTAGCTTAGAGTGCAAGCTACTATAACTATTATATATAGCTTGTAATAAACGTAACTAATAAGAAAGATCAATACATTTCCAAAGATTCCTTCTCTCTCTAAACCCTCTCAATCTTCTTCTTCTCTCTCTGCATAACAGTTCTTACCAAATCCTTCAATGGTTTATAGCTAGGTTATAAAATGACTCTTTAATAAAAATAAAATTGTTCATTTATGTGGCATCTGTACATCACTTGTTACATTATGTGGTATTAAAATGTGATAAGACTATAATAATATTGTTCTAAATTGTTTAACTATAGCCACTTAATACTACGGTCTAGTGATATTCATCTTCACTTCTAAGTGAGAGGTCTTAGGTTAGATTAAAAAATTATTTAACTATAATGCTATCAATATATATAAGTTTTGTTTTGGTTACAATGTATAGGAAGAAAATTAAATAACCAATAATAAAAATATTAATAGAATACCCTTAATAATATGAATTCATAATCATAATGGCTCACATCACCAACAATCGCAATACACTAACGCAGGAGAAATGGATAAAACGAGGAACCTTTGATGAGCAACAAATAGTAATTACTGAGAGTATAAATTCTGCATTGAATGCTTCCTGTTGTGGCAATTGGTTTGACAACGAAACCACAACTTTTTCTAGTAATATTATTTTAAGGGGGATTATATTCACACACCCTAAATTACTTTTCTCACATTCTTTTAATTTTTTAATATTTTATACACACCATTAATACTTGATAAAAAATATTAAAAAATTAAAAGAGGGTGGGAGAAAATAATTTGAGGTGCGTGAATATAATTTCCCTATTTTAAAACCCTCCAATATAAACTATTAAATACATTACATACGTACCTAGAGACTTAATAAGAAATATACATAATAGAAAAGTTCATAGTTTCCTTGTCTGGAAAGCAATATATGTAAAATTAAATAGATAACAAAATTAAATAGAAACTAACAAAGAATCCTGCATCGCTTTTTTTTTTTTTTTTTGTGGTAAATAAAAAGAATGGGAACCTCCGTGCATCACATATGTCAGATAAATCTTTCTCATTCTTTAGAAAAAAAAACTTATTGTCAAAAAATCATATTCATCTTTTAATTAGACCCTTTCTATTACCCCTAAACTCCATGCTCAAAAGTGCAAATATATGAAGAGATCTAAGAGCAGTTAAGCTATGCTGACCAGACAAAAGGTACCAATTTATCCAAGATTTAATATTCTGATTGCTAATTAACGAAGGTTGGACAAAATTGAAGCTCCGTTAAGATCTGCTCATGTTATCATGAGCCCGCAACAATTATTCTTAGCA